TTTTATTATAATTTAATTTAGGTTCAATAACGAAGTAATTTATATTTGGTTTAATAATATAATTTTCTTATAAAGATAATAATTAATTGAACTCGATAGTTATCCTAATTATATTTTAGATTTTTTATATTCTAAAATGAAATGTTTATCCTTTATTTGATTATGTTTATCCGTAGTTATGTACACGAATTCAAACATGGAGCTTTAATAAGTTGTATTTGTGCATAATTTACTTGTAATATGAAATTTCAAGTAATATGGATCAATATACAGTACTTCATGCATAAAAAATAGTTTTTAAGAGTTTTTGTCAAATACTTTATAATATAGTATAGATAGTATAAATAAAAAATAAATTATATTTTTATTTATAAAACAGATAATATTTTTATTATATTTTAAAATATTGTTAGAAACAAACTCTATAAAATCATTGAAAATGCTAAATACTCTCCTCGTAGGATTTACAAATCCTGAATCATTTTTTAAAAACCGAATTTAGTACAGTCAACTAAACGGAGCTTAGAGTTTTATTATTATATATGTAAACGTTTTTGGTTAAGGATAGGGTTGGTGGTCGGTCACCCACCCATGGGAATGGCGGTTTAGTGGTCGCTGGTGAGTGTTCTTTACGGTTCTCACAAGCTGTTGCGGCTGTCGGTTTCACATGGCCAACTACGTACAACGGCCATCACTAACAAAAGCTACTTAAAAATCATTAATTAATATTAGACGTCATCATTAAATTGTAAAATACTAAAATATAGTGGGTATTCATATGAAGTATACATAAGACATGTAGTTGTAGTCATGTATCCACGAATCCAATCAGTGCATCGATAGTTTCTTTTGTGGATTAAGCAATGAATTTAATATATAAACGGCTCAAGAAGAAGATGAATCGCATATGATTTTATATTAAAATATATGTGATTTATAATATCATCAGGCCAAATTGTTTGCATATCTTTGCGTTGATTGTTGGTGTAAAATCAATACGATTTTGCATATGATCTTGTGTTTTCCTGTTCTCTTATTTAGTTACAATTATCGTTTAAACACCCCTCTCTCTCTCTCTCTCTCTCTCTCTTTCTATCTATATAGAAAGAGAAAAAAAAGAGGAGAGGTTCAAACAAGAACAATAACCAAAAATAATAAAACACGAAAACAATCAAACTACATGTAAAATTACATGTGGTTTTAAACTAACGGTCAATACATATGGTGTACAACCAACATGGCCTGCCACCTCAAATCGAGGCAAAAATTGAAATCACATCTGATTTTAGTGTAAAATCAAATATGATTTGACCATTTTTTAAATTTCTGATTTAGTTACTGTTCTCGTATGAACCCCTCTCTCTCTCTCTCTGAGAAACAACCTAAATAACAGTTCTTAGGGGCTGTTTACTAAACGCTTACTCGGTAGGTGCTTGGCGGGCAATTTTTCTCACTGGGGAACAAGGCAAGACCCACGAATCTTACCTAGTAAGAGTGATGATAAGGATAGAGAGTCTTACCCGGTAAGTGAGGGTGATGACTCTTACCTGGGTAAGCGCTTACTATATATATTGTTGCACACGATACCATTTTGATATACTACAATCTTACCTAAAAAATAAATTATAGTGTTGACTTCTAACGATAAACGCTTACCGGGTAAGCATTTAAGTAAACAACTCCTTAGTTTTTTATTTTGTTACGGTTTTCCCTTGAATCTAACCTATATAAAATCATATAGATAAATCTTGTGTAATTACATAACATGTTTGGTTAATTTTGTTTTTTACCATCGTTTTAGTTCAATGTAAACATCATCTATAATTCTTTAATTTATAGAATATTAATCTTAATGAACTTCTAAATCATTTGTCTCCAAAGCGTCACAAGTTGGTTCCGATATGTATATTTACACAAACTTTGAATGATTTCCGATATACCATTTGTAGAAAGTAGTCCACATACAATCTTGTCCAATGAAATATCAACAATTCAACATGGAAATACGAAGAAAAAGAAAAAAGAAACTTACTTTATCATAATCCTAACGAAAACAATATCTACGTGGCTAAAACGACTTCGCTGTGAAAAGTTCCGTTTTCCATTCTAATCCACGACTTGAGGGAGAAAGGCTCGTCGGAAATTTCCAAAATCCGAGCACCTCGAGCCCAGTTTCCATAGCCACCATAGCCGGTATGCCTAGCATAACACAACCACATCTTCTCGTATGGGCAGCACCAATCCAGCCCATGGTTGTGACCAACAAATACTGCCTGCCACCATCCAACTATCCATCACACAACATAAACATAAACATAACTACCAAATTACCTTCAATTATTAATTCAGATGGTGCGTTTGGTCGTGAGACAGTATCAGAGAGGACTAAAAACGACACGACTAGATTGAGCTGGTCAGACAAGTGTGAGGTAGGCGGGTCAAATAATTGTGCTAAGGTTTTAGGGACAACAAGGTTTTGTTTTTCCCTAACCCATCCGGCATTAAAAAACTTGAAATTTATTTTAGCAACCTAAAGAAACGGGTTTTTCACGTTGCAAAATCGTCTAGTTTGCTCTTTCGACACATACATGTAATAGCATCATCGTATCGTACAAATGTAATCCTTACTTTAACCGAAGGCCTTTCTTTAAGAAGCTTCATCATTCCCATTTCCGCTTCTTGAGCTGCAACGCGCTCTTGAAACATTGAACCCACACATTGTGTCCGCTTGCCTACAGCTTTCTTGGCCACTTTCTCGTAGGCTTTACTCGGTATATGCCAAAAAACAATCTCCGGGACGCTGTAACGCAATATCAGATGAAATGCAAGTAATACACAACCAAATGAACTATAGAGCCACATTTCAGTACTCACCTTGAATCAGGGTTCACCTCTTGAGATTTGTTGTGAAACCATTCAGATTGGATACTTGATATAACCTCTGGGTATGATCCGCCACCAGAATCCAAGAAGTACATGAACATTAACGGCGATTTGGGATCCCTTTTCGGGGATACAAGTGTAAGAACATAATTAGATACACTTGGCCATAGATTTCGAGGACCAAATCCCGTGTACGACAACAAACTATGCATTATCTCGTTTCTCATCAGCTCCAGACGCGTTGTCCCTTTGAAGCTACACTCATCTCCCCCTGAGAAATAGTCCTCACGATCAGAACAAAACTATAACTGTCGCGATTTCTTTTTCGTAACCATGGGTGTTCGGTCAGCTTCAGGGCACCTCAACTAATGCCATAAATTGGCTGTTTGTAACTTACCCGAGGAATTTACCCGAGGGCAGAGAATGTGAGGTATCCCGGAAGATGAAAACCAGTCGATAGGCCACTCGAACGGGGCATCGTCATGGTTGCCGAACAAACTAGCCCATGGTATGTTCCTGGCTCGTGTTGGAGATATTGCTTGATCCCAGTAGAAGCTAGCATTATGAATAGGCAAGTTGTTTGCTGTGATCACATCTCCAAGATAAATAACGAAATCTGTCACCAATTCGTAATTTTGTTAAGTGGTTTGATACAGAATGGTTGTGTAAACTGAATTAGGGCTCTTAATGGTTAAGAAAGATCCGATGTACAAATTCATTCATAGAGTTTTAGAACCATTAAGATGCTGAATTTTTTTTTTGCCAAACAAAATTCACCTCTTAATGATTTAAATGTTGTCTTTTAATGAAACCATTAAGAAGTAAACAAACAAACTGTGCGGGTTTTTATTGTCGCAGAACCCAACCCGTAAGTATATGTTTAAATTTTTTAATAAAAAATAATAAATTTTCCAATGAAGATTTAGCAACCACCAACAATACAAACCTGGCCTTTCAACATCGAGAACGGTGGACATGACGTTAACGGAGTTAAGATCTTGTTGTGGTCCCCAATCCGTCCACGCATTCTCTCCGAAATGCAGATCGGCGAATAGAGCCACCTTGAATGATGAACCCTCCCCATCACCTGCTACTCGTAGAGAACTATCCCGCGGCGTTTTCCGTGAAGTGACGCCATCATCGACTGCTATATCTTCTGGCCGGACGATGAGAATGTTTCGCCAGAGAAGGAGGAGGACGGCGATGCTACGGCAGTAAGTATGGGCGGCCGATCTGTTCAATTCTGTGGCCATTGGTTGCCTGAAACAAATCATTTGATTTTGAGGTGATAGATAAGGTGAGTTTGATAATTGCTTTGGTTTTGGAGGATATGCCGATTGCTTCTAAGAATATCCAAACAAGAAACCTCATTCTTATCACTAGATGAGATTTCGTTATCCCCCCTTTTTTCTGTAATTTGATCTTTTGCTTGTTTTTTCCCTCCTTTTCAAAGATCTAGATTCCATTTGTATCATAATTTGGAACTGACCATCGATTTAAGGTTCAATTCATTTTGTTTTGTCCAATAGTCACAAATGGTGTCTCTGAGAGGTTGACATCCGATCCACCCTAGTTGTAAGCGATCCGCCAAAAACAACCAAAATATTCTTTGGTGAATCGGGCGAAAACTTGAATCACGTACATACATAATTTTAGAAAAAAAGGTAAAGCCAACAGACATATAAAAACTGGTGCTATTGTGGCTACACCTCCTGCTTTGTCAGGTATACTACAAACAAGTGTTGGATTTTACCGGTAAGTATTTATCGGATAAGTTTTTGTTAAGTAAGTAATAGTTTTTGAATTTTCGAGTTAGTAATTAATTTATTTATTATAGTTGATCTTCAACGGTTTTTTATTTGAATTAGAATAAAAAACAAAATTTTTGATAATAACATAAATTCAACTTTTAACAGTTTTTATTTTATTTTATAGATTTTAATGTTAATTATGTTGTTAAATAATACAATATTTTTATGGAATAATGGTTTCTAATAGGTTGCACGTAATGAAGAAACATTGAAGATAATGTATATATGATTTGATTTTATCGTCCCTCTGGTTTGGTGAAATATTGGAGTGGGTCCTCCGAATAAAATAATTACAAGAACAATCATTGTGATTTTGTTTTTGTTATGGATCAGGTCCCTTGTTTAACGTCGGTTAAAGTTCTACGTTAAATTTCTAAAAATTCCAAACTCCACCATCAAGAAACTTCTTCAATCTCTTCCAGGTATGCTATCGATAATTTTTCTCTCTCTCTCTCTCTTTTGATTCTGTAAATCAGAGAGTGAGTTTGTAGTATTTTGGGATTTTATGAGTTCATGATATAGAGATTGAAACCACTGTACAGAGAGTTGTGGAAACTGAGGAGTGTGGTCGGAAATTTTAATGAGGTAACTCGTGAAAGCAGAGAAACATGGCCGAGAATCCACATGAGATTGTAGTGAGAGAACCAAAAACGCACCCAGCTCGATTGTAGAAAATAGAACTCCAACTGTCACGGGAATAACGGTGAAGAATTTCCCATTTCTAAAAAAGAAACCAAGTCACTGACGACTAAAAAAGTCAATTAATTTTTTAGATTCGAGCCTTGTTTTAGTCAAATGTGTCCACACATATATGTATAGCCTCTTTTTTGTTTTTTTGATTTTAGGTACGGTTTTTGTGTTTAATTTTTCTTCATCGGATCTAGGGAAGAGGTAGGAGAGTGAAAAGGGAAGTTTCTTGAGTTCTAGAGATTGGCAAAACATGTCCTTCAACCAATTACAATTTTCATAATTCATACAAAAATGAAAATGTATCCGAGTTAATGGGCATTTTAAACGACTGTTAACATGAGGGATCTACTTCGTAACAAACACAAAACCAAAGTGACCTCCCATATAATTATTTCACTAGAGGGACTTAATCCAAAATTTCACCAAACCAGAGGGACAAAATTCAAAATTTACTCTATCTTTTATTACCTCCAAAATAATTTATTTTATTTATTATTTTGAAAAATATTTAAAAGATTATGTTATAGTTCAAAATTATACCAAAAAACACCCCAAGTTTACATTTTCTCTAAAATTTAATTTAATCAAAATTTTACTTTTGTTTGATAACCAAATAAAAACCAAATTTGATTTAATAACAAATAAAAAAATGTGTTAATTGGAATTTTTTATTTTTCAAAAGACAATATGAAAAAAAGAAATTCACATAGTTTTTTTTTTGAAGTAAAAAAAAAGTTTGTATTTTCATGTGGCGTTTAAGACAAGGTCTACTCCTAATCGAGCGTTGCATCAAGCTCGGTTTAGACATTCACTCCTCTTTATATGTCCGGATGTGAACAGGAAATTGAAAAGTCGATCATTGTATAATTAGTTGCATGAAGAGTTTGGTTGTATGGACGAAAAGTGTTTAGGTGGTGAGTCTTCGTTGCCCTATCACGGATGTTTTCTTTTTAGAAGACCTCCCTACAGTAAAGTAGTTTTTTCAATCGGATTCGTTGACTTTCAATGTTCAACTTCTATCTTACAAATGGTTATCTAATAATGCAAAAATATTCATATATCTTGGGTGGATTAGTGTTGTAGTCCAAGGGGCGTCTAAGTGTTAAACCATGTATTGGGGTGTATTACACCTCTCTTAGGGGCCGTTTACCAATTTTTTTGGTTAAGCGTTGATTCGGGTAAGAGGTATGAGTGAAGTAAGTGTAGATTGGATTTTCTTGTTTACCAAACATTTTGTATTAAGTGTTGATTGAGTAAAAAAGACCATTATATCTCTCTTTTTGGTGTAAGTTTTGATTGAAAATTATTGTTTACCATATGTATTGTATTAAGTGCTAACATAAAATGTTATTTATCAAAAAAATTAAAAAATACTCAATATATTAACATATTATAGTTTTCATAATTTAGAACAAAAATTCAATTTTTTAAAGGCAAAACCACCACCAAAACAAAAAACACCAAAATGAGGACCAACGAAGGAAACAACAAACCTTCAACAACGAACAAAAAGTCATTGCAAACCCTTTACATAATTATTTGCATACAAATAGTTCGCTTACAGATATTAATTTCAAGCATTTAACATTAATTGATTTGCAATTTGATCATGCAAATTAGTCATATATTCATTTCCTTGGGGACCCCATTGTGTTTCTTCAACATCTTCCTCGACGTTTTCTTCCTCGATTCCTTCATCTTGTTCTTCTATGGTAAACATGTTGTTTTCATCATACTCCATAAACAGTCGATCTTGAATATTGCATCTCCTTATAAAATTGTGAATTGCGAAACAAGCAATCATTACATCTTTTCGTATTGGGAAAGGGTAAGGAGCCAGTTGTTTTAAAATTGGAAATATTGCTTTCAAGACCCCGTATGCATGCTCGATGACATTTCTAAGGTGTGCATGAGCATGATTGAACCATTCTTCTTTAGTCAAGGCACGTCGATGTCGAAAATTTGCTAACCAATACCTTGTATTGCGATATGGGGTCATAAATCCATGAGTATTGGTATATGCGGCATCATAAAGATAATATTTACCTGTAACCACAAAATACAATTTAAAAGTATAAACATAACGAGATTCAAATGTTAAGGGAAAAAATGAAACATACTTGGTGGAGGAAACGAAAATCCTGAAGTTAGAATAAATGCAACTTCTGTCAGAACTCGAGAGTCATGTGCAATGCCTTCTCATTTCGCCCAAACAAGTGTATCTATCATATTAAAATCATAAACCGCTAAAACATTTTGATAGCATTCACCTCTTTCTCTTCCTCTATACCTAGCTTGTTGACTAACAAGCACAACTGCATGTACCAATGTTCCATCTAGCACACATATAGCCCCTTTTTTATGAAATATAAAACATTATAATTCAGTATATCAAGACAAAACATACCGGAAATGTTTCTTGAGTTGTGTCGACATACTTGGGGTTCCATCAAAGGATGTTGTCCCTACGACTGCTCTCGTAAATTCCATCATTTCTCTTAGTACTTCATGAAAACATTTATTAATGGTTTGCGTAGAGTGTTGAAATCTTCATTTAACCATTCTAAAGCGTTAATTATGACCAATTATTGTCAAGAATATTGTCATTTTCTCTTCGACGTTCATATACCTATTTGAGTACACCCAATTTTTTTCTTTAAAGTAATTACATAATAATATGTATGCATCACGTGACAAATGAATCAATTCATGACATTGCATATTTGATCCACTTAACAATTATTGTGTATACGCATGTCCGCTCAATGCTGAAGTATTGTCTCTTATCCTTTCTGTTATTGACAAAGATTTTTTTTCCAAATACAAATAAACAACCACCACAATCAGAATTAACTTGTTCCTATCCATAACCTTGCAATACAAAACACATATAAAATTAACCGTCAAGAGTCCATACAAACACCAAAACATCTTCCAAAATTCAAATGAAAAAGACACCATCATCTTTGAAGATAACATTGATGATAACATTCATCGATAAAAGTAATATAAAAGCCAACAAACATTTTCCAAAGTTCAAACAACGACAAACATCTAATGCGCATATAAACCATTTAAGGTTTTAAAAGAGCGCATCAAAATATCTAACATTCACACAAACCATCTAAGGTTTCAAAAGAGTGGATCAAAAAGTTTAATGCACATAAAAATCATCTAAGGTTTCAAAAGAGTGCATAAAAATATCTTCTTCTAATGTCTAAACAAACGTCGCAATAATTATATAAGTCCAAGTTGACGTCCCGTGAACTTAACCCAACCCTCACACTTATCATCCTTCAAACATAAGAAGAAATCAACCCATTTGCAGAAATAAACCATACTCAAAGAAAATAAACCAGAGAATGACAAAAAGAAAATCAACCTATTTGCAGGAATCTCTACAACAAATAGATGAATAAACTGCAGCAACAGAAATCAAGAAACGGAAGAAGAAATCAAGAAATCAATAACCAAATTTGGGATATTAGAAATCAAGAAAAAGAAGAAGAAATCGAAAAGAAAGAGACGAGAAACGATTCATACCTGAAGCAAGCAGCGCACTATTTGTTTGAAGAAGAGATCGGTAGATTAGGGTTTTAGATGGAGAGGGTAGATAAGGAAACCATGCCTCTTACCATGGTAAGATTCAAAATTTTTTTTTCTGACCCCAGTAAAAGGACGATTAGAGGTAATAAGACTTATTGTTGATTTTCATTTTAAGTAAACACTTTTACCTCTTACCCGGGTAAGCGTCTCTTAATGGGTAGAGGTGGTAAGAGATTAGTAAACGTGGCCTTAGGGGTCGTTTACCAAACACTTACCCAGTAAGCGTTCACCGGTAAAATTTAACAATATCATTTACTTACCGAGTAAGATTTTAGTCCACCAAAATGGTATCGTATACAGCAATTTACCCGGTAAGCGTTTACCGTGGTAAGAGTCGTCGCCCTCACTTACCGAGTAAGACTCTTGGTTCTCGTCTTGTTCTTATCGGGTAAGATTCTTGGTCCTTGTTATATTCATCTGGTAAGGTAATGTAACTTGGTGTTTACTTACCTAAGTAAGCGTTTGGTAAACGACCCCTTAGTGTCTTTTTTCATTGTTTTTTGTTTTTCATATCTTATTTTTAGGTTTGATATTGTTATTTGTTTTCGTTTCAGCTCTTTGCAATGAGGCTATATTTTGGGGGTGGTCTCATCTAACTTCATGATTATTTTATTGTCTATAATGGTTACGAACTTTAGCCTCAAACGTGTCGTTTAGCTGACAAAGAGGTGAAGTAACTATACCCAAATACAAGACAGGTATCAGATACGATCCCGAGCCCTCTTGCAGAGTGAGTCAAAAAATGTTCCCTTACGTCGATGTCCTTAGAGGCGAGTTTCATATAAAACTGGTTAGGATTACCAGTAATCAATTTTATTGCCCAAATAATTGCGACCTGTAAAAAAATAATTTATGTTGTATGATAAGTGTGTCATCATTTAAGGGATAAGACGATAGATATAGAGATAGATACATCAGAGTTGGATTACAAATGAAATATCTCATAGTCATCTACTTGTAACTCATCCCTATATAAGGGGTTTATGATTAATAAGAATTACATATTCTCTCTCTATCCTTTTTTTTTGTAAGGGTATCCGGGCCAAAGCCCGACTAATCCCCAGCAAATTTGGAGGCTAAACATGACCCCACTTAAATGTCGCCAACACTCCTCTCCCAGGGCTCGAACTCGGGTTCATGACTATGTCATGCCCAAGCCTTACCACTAGGCTAGAAGGTCTTTGACTTCTTTCTCTCTATCCTATTGGTGTTCTACTTCGTCTATACTATAATATGTTATCAACACGTACGCTCTATGAAGATTGTCAAATCCGAGACCAAACCTGAGTCATTGTTTATGTTACGGGATAATCAAGCACGTTACTCGTCTGTGCTACAACTAAGTCAACTAAATCAAATACATTTTTAGTTTATTTACGTTTTAATGAATTCTTTATATTCCGATGAACTTATTAATATTCTCAACATTCTTTTATATATTTATAAAAATAAAAATAATTTGTTTTGAGGGTAAACCACTAAAAAAAAATCTTTTAAAAAAAGGCAAAATCTTTTTTTTTTTAAATCTTTAGTAAAAAAATGTGATCTATCTATGCTTTATTTTTATTTTTTTATTGAAAAAGTTTATAAACGACGAAAAAAAGAGTAAACCAAATATGTATCTCCTCATTTTTTTTTTCTCAAGAACTCTTTCTCAAAAGTTTTTAGGGGGTGTTTGGGATTGTTTATTTTATCTGCTTATTGACTTATTTCAGTCTGGCACCGGTGATAAGCTAATACCTAGGGGGTGTTTGGGATTGCTTATCAAAACGACTTATTAACTTATTTCAGTCTGGTACCGGAGATAAGCAGTTTTTTAGTGTTTGGGTAAAAAAAAGAAAACTGCTTATACCGATGCCAAACTGGTAATAAACAGTTTTTGGTAAGTTAATCCGTAGTGACTTATGAAAATCGACTTGTTACCGATTTACAATTTTAAACCATTCTAACACTTATCTTACAATTTTAACCCATTCTAACAGTTATGTCTAATAATCATTGATATATATCTTTCTCCATTAACAGATACATTCGGATCCATCTCTTCACTCCTCTCCATCAGGTACGTCTTCTCCATCTTCACCTCTTCTCCAAATCGATATCACTTCTACAATCATCATCGCCTCTTCTCCAATCGATACCCTATACGATGAACAAATCGATACCTTAACCCTAGAGATCTCCTTCTGTTTTTAAAACCCATTTCTATTAAATTTGAATAAATCACCGATTAATTTAACAAAAAAACTCATGTTTTTTTAATGCTTTTAAAACTGGGCAAGTGTTGGGAAGCCTTTTGCCCAAATCCCCCTCGCTACGACGAGATCCATACTCTCTGCCTCACTCGTCACCGGTTCGCCTCCTCGATCTGCCACCATCCAACGCCACCACCGTACCTTCCAACTTCTCGCAGCCGGCGTTCAGAGCTAAATGCGATTTTCCCCTCTCCTGGCACGGTGATTTAAGCCCCATCTTCTTCCATATCTGGTGAATAGACAATCACCATCTCTGTAATCCTCACACTTGTAGAGATTGTGAAATTATATGCGATCTTCTCAGAATTTTCAATTTTTTTGCTATCTGAGCGTTCCAGTTTAGTTCTATCAACATTAACATGGCTGTTTTATTGTGAATTCCCAATTTTATGTGTGAATCTGTTTATTGGATTTTCTCAAAGGCTTCCACGCTATTTAATTACTAATTCCGCTAAGATACACATAATGGGTCATAATCGGAGGAGATTTTCAATGGTGGTAAACGAACTCTTGCTGCATTGATTTGTTTTAGGACTACCAGATCTACTAGCTTGTTCAATTGAACTTTGGTGTTGTTATTTAAAGGATAACTAGACATTGTCTCTTATATGGCTTGATCTCTTATGCTATGGGTCTACTGATCAAGCGAATGCTGGATGCATTACTTGAATTTTGATTATTATGATGGAACACTATTATGATCTATTTATATTTCTACAATGCAAGTCATAACCTACGTGCTATTTGTTGATAAACCATCGATCTCATATTTCCTTTTCTAAGTAACTGATAGCACCGACTATGTTTTGAGTTTTATGCTCCCATTTTAACGAGATCTGTTTATGAATATCAAATTCAGACATCTAAATGGAACTGCAAATCAGATGGCATGTAAGAAATGGAATGCTAACACATAATTTCGTGACTTTGCTGTTCAACATTCTCGTAGAATGAATGTAGCGTTTGCAGGAGATAAACAAAATGGTTATGATTTTATTTATAAAAGTTGTGATTATTGCGTAAGATAGATACATTTTAGATGATACCAAAATATTGATACGTCTAGAATATTATAAATAAACCTATAAAATTCTGATGGAGACAAAAGAGAAAGTCACTGATTGAGATGATGGACTTTGAACAAATGAAATGGCAAGAAATCCGGTTTGTGGCTGTCTTCTATTTCCAAGGGTATCTTCTAACTCGTTTTACCTCATCATATAGGTTAGATAAGTTCATGCTGCCAATAATAACAAAAAACGAAAAAAGATTAGACTCTGAACTAAGATTTGGTCATTTTGCAACAGAAAACATGGAGAAATCTTGTTCTCTACTAGTTCATTTTGACAAAGGAACACCTGCACTTGCCAATGAAATTAAGGAGGCTCTTGAAGGGAATGATGATATTGCAAAGATAGACGCCATGAAAAAAGCTGTCATGCTTTTGCTGAATGGGGAAACACTGCCACAACTTTTTATCACAATTGTTCGGTATGTTCTTCCTTCAGAGGATCACACTGTTCAGAAATTACTGCTTCTTTATCTTGAAATCATCGACAAGACGGACTCCAGGGGAAAGGTCTTACCTGAAATGATTTTAATCTGCCAAAACTTGAGAAACAATCTCCAGCACCCTAATGAGTACATTCGTGGTGTGACCTTGAGGTTTCTTTGTCGGATCAATGAAGCAGAGATAATTGAGCCCCTGATTCCCTCTATATTGGCCAATCTGGAGCATCGGCATCCATTTGTAAGGCGGAATGCGATACTTGCTGTGATGGCCATTTACAAGCTTCCACAAGGGGAGCATCTTTTGGTTGATGCACCAGAAATGATTGAAAAGGTACTCTCAACAGAAGCAGATCAATCGGCAAAGAGAAATGCATTTCTTATGCTTTTCACATGTGCACAAGACCATGCAGTTAATTACCTTTTGACCCATGTGGATAAAGTGTCTGAATGGGGAGAATTGCTACAGATGGTTGTGTTGGACTTGATCCGCAAAGTGTGTAGAGCGAAGAGAGGAGAGAAAGGGAAGTACATAAAGATCATCATATCTCTGTTGAATGTTCCTTCCGCTGCAGTTATATTTGAATGTGCTGGAACATTAGTGTCGTTGTCATCTGCTCCTACAGCCATTAGGGCTGCGGCCAATACCTATTGCCAGCTCCTCCTCACTCAAAGTGACAACAACGTGAAACTTATTGTGCTTGATCGTTTGGATGAACTCAAATCTTCCCATAGGGAGATTATGGTTGATATGATAATGGATGTGCTCAGGGCACTCTCTAGCCCGAATCTTGATATCCGGAGGAAAACACTTGATATTGTACTTGATCTGATCACTCCTCGAAACATCAATGAGGTTGTTCTTACTTTGAAAAAGGAAGTGGTAAAAACTCAAAGTGGGGAGTTGGAAAAAGATGGGGAGTACCGTCAAATGCTCATCCAAGCCATTCATTCTTGTGCTGTTAAGTTCCCTGAAGTTGCAGGCACTGTTGTACATATGTTAATGGATTTCTTGGGCGACAGTAATGTTGCCTCAGCAATGGATGTAATTGTTTTTGTGAGAGAAATAATTGAAACGAACCCAAAGTTGAGGGTTTCTATTGTAACAAGATTATTAGATACATTTTACCAGATACGATCAGCAAGAGTTTGTTCTTGTGCTCTTTGGATCATCAGTGAGTACTGCCTTTCTCTTTCCGAAGTGGAGAGTGGAATTACCACCATAAAGCAGTGCCTTGGAAACCTGCCGTTTTACTTGGCTTCAGAAGAGGGGGACACTAATGATTCTTCAAAGAGGTCTCAGCAAGTAAATTCAATAACTGTTTCTTCTAAGAGGCCTGCTATTCTTGCTGATGGCACTTACGCTACTCAGAGTGCAGCTTCTGAAACTGCCTTTTCCCCACCTACCGTGGTCCAGGGAACATCGACTTCAGGAAATTTGAGATCTCTTCTTCTAACTGGTGATTTCTTCCTAGGTGCAGTTGTGGCTTGTACGTTGACAAAACTTGTCTTGCGTTTGACAGAGGTTCAAGCATCAAAAATTGAAGTCCACAGAATGTCAACTCAAGTGTTGCTAATCATCGTCTCAATGTTGCAACTTGGGCAATCTTCATATCTTCCACACCCGATTGATAATGACTCTTATGATAGAATTGTTCTTTGCTTAAGATTACTATGTAACCCAGATGCACAGATCAGGAAAATATGGCTGCAGTCTTGCCGTGAAAGTTTTGTCCAAATGCTTGTGGAGAAACAGCTACAGGAAACAGAGGAAATAAAAGCCAAGGCTCAGGTTTCACATGCACAACCTGATGATCTCATTGACTTCTATCATTTGAAGAGCAGGAAGGTAAGATTTGTTGTTGTTTTTGTTTGGTTGTGTGTGTATCGACTACATGTTGTTTGTTTTGTATGAAATGTGAACAAATGCTAGCCATTACTATACATTGCATGACAGTTTTTCTTTTAAATATCATATAGGCTGCCTCATTTTATTGGTTCTTTTCTATTTCAAGACGGTTTTTTGAGAGTGTAAAGAGTAATGTCATGAAGTTTTGACCATTGTAATGTGGTGGTGATCTACTGAACTGTATAGTTACTAGTAACCTTTTCCATGTCCCATAGGTTGTAAAGGAGTACAATAATTCTTTATCTCACTACCTGTTTAGTGACCTGTGATTATACCCTGGGCGTTCATTTTCATTCTACCTACCGTGTGAATTAACTCAAATAAGCTACGAGGCTTTTCTAAAAGGTTACTAATCTAATTTTTCTAATCACCACAAATTTTGAAAGAAATGAGTTGCAGATGATGGCAAAGAGTTGTGTTGTTAACAAGCCAAGATAGGATGATGAATAATAAATTTGAAATAATGTGGTTTACAGTATATGTTCGTAATATATATATGTCTTCATTTAATCAAAAGAATTTTGGTGGTTAACTCTGACTACATATGCACATAGGATTACATGGCATTGGCCTCACAATGTAGTCATGATTCTGAAAGTTGAGTTCGCAAGTTTCCAGTTCATGTTCCTGCACATCCACATTTTTCAATATTCTGTCATTTGCTACCTAGATGTCTACAAAAATTAAATCATGAGTTCAAGTCTCTTTATAGACATCAGTCTTTTAATTTTGTTACCTATTTATATCTGTCAGTCGCCGTATAGTTGAAATCTAGTCATCGAGTGATGTAACAAATGAATGCTATGATTTGTAGGAGCACAGGGGATTGTCAAAACTAATGTTAGGGGTACGTCATCTGTGTTGTGCTCATATTGTGTGAGACAATTAATTGGCGATAAATGACTATGAAATTTGACAGACGAGGAGCTCTAGATATTAGACATAAATTTTTGGATCTTATTAGTTAGCTGTGGTAATAACAGAGTTCAAATGCTTGGTGTTGTTTCAAGAAAAGGGCATCACGCTGTATGAATTTTAGGTCAAATTAGAAATAAGCCTATAAATTTCAGGAAGTTCAGTCAGTCCATAAAATCTCATGATAAATTGCATTTAGAGCAAAATGATTGGTTTCCCGCTATAAAAGAGCAAAATGATTGTTGAACCCGTGTCTTCACTTTGTTATAACTTTCTTGTTTAACAAATGATTGATGATTAACACCTCCAAAATTTCTTCATCTTCTTCAAACATTAAAAATCCCCTTACATCTTCATCTTGAAGAACAAACCAGAACCAAAGATAAAATAAGACAAAATTAACAAAGGAATTGTTGGGCCTATAACATATTTAATTTTTTTTAGTAAACATTTATCACTCACTGGTCAGACATGCATTATTGTTTCATATTTATGGCAGTCTTGAATAACATAATATGAAGAGAGTGCATATTTGACTTTCGAATGTTGACCAAGTATTTGTAAGTCTTAAATCGATTAGCTATCTTCTTTTGCAGAAAATTGACATTGAGCATTGTAACAAGTATCAGACATAAATGTTTTGGAGATGAAAATTGCAAGAAATCTGTCAGATTCGAACTAGAAAAGTACTAGATTTGAATCTCTAAATCATAAGTAGTTTCTGTTTTGGCATGGAGTTTCTTCATGAGGGTCAGGTTCCAGTGAGAAGGGGAGTTAAGGTGAGAAGCGTAAGAAGGGATCTTCATCCTTGGATGCACATTAGGATGAGATTCCCTGGATCAATCCCCGTATCAAGTATGATTCGTGGGTGGGTTTGAGATTAAAGGTGATCAAGGACCTTAACTCTACTTCTCACACGATCCTTCGCCTTCTTCATGATCAAGTCGTTTCTTAAAATATGGCTGCCTTTACTTGAGATGGCTGATTCCATTGTGGATGATAAGTTCATTGAACATGCACTTTGTCTTTTTACTGCAAACTTGGTGTATATTTGATAACCACAACATATTTAAAACAATGTAGTGAGACAATTCATTTCCCTTGAGATGATATACTTCGGTAAAATAAAAAGAAAACTTTATGGAACCGGATCCCAAATTTGCTTCTTTTAACTTGCAAGTCTTTTCATGTTCTTGAATCAGAGAGAAAGGAAAGGAAAAATGTCATGTTTACAAAAATACCCTCTATATTTGTTTTTCTCATGTGAGGGTATTTTTGTCATAAAAGATCAGACTCCTTTCAGATTTTCTTTTCCTCCCTTTCTTCCCACATTTGAGGGGAAAGTCCCGAGAACAAATTCAAAGTACTTCTACAAATGCTTCTTCCTGTAACCAAGGTATGTAATATTTCTAACGTTTGACTTTGTCAACTTCCCAGGGTATGAGCCAGCTGGAGTTAGAGGATGAGGTCCAAGACGACCTAAAACGTGCTACTGGGGAATTTATCAAAGAGGGAGCTGCTGCAAATAAGCTGAACCGTATTCTTCAACTAACTGGATTTAGCGACCCAGTGTATGCTGAGGCATATGTCACTGTCCATCACTACGATATTGTCCTGGATGTAACAGTTATCAACCGAACGAAGGAGACTCTCCAGAATCTGTGTTTGGAGTTAGCAACAATGGGTGATCTTAAACTTGTTGAGCGACCACAAAACTATACTCTTGCTCCTGAATCAAGCAAGCAGATAAAAGCCAACATTAAGGTGTCCTCAACCGAGACTGGAGTCATATTTGGGAACATTGTTTACGAGACTTCAAATGTGCTTGAACGTAATGTCGTCGTCCTAAATGATATTCATATCGACATTATGGATTACATCTCCCCAGCAGTCTGCAGCGATGCAGCTTTCAGAAGTATGTGGGCTGAATTCGAGTGGGAAAACAAGGTATCACTTGCTAGTTTTATAATATAAATTTCTATTCCCATTGATGATTTTTGTTCCAACTTAAAAGATTATGTCTAGTTTTAGGGCTCATTTGGTTTGCGGAATTTGGTGGGATTTGGAAATGGATTCCATTCCAATCCCGTGTTCAGTTTAAAGGAAAGTCCGGAATTGAATTTCATTCCAATCCCGCGTTTGGTTTAAAGGGAAATCCGGAATTGAAATCCCATAAACATGGGTAGTTGGTGCCGGATTCCATAGGATTTGTTTGTAATAATGTTTTAAAATATTTAAAAACACTTGGTTTATAATAATCATTGATCAATTAATAAAAAGGTAATTAATTTTTTTTAAAATTATTTATAAAGAACGGAATTCAATTCAACTTCAAATCCTACAAACCGAACACACCAAGATTCCAAATCCTCCCACGAAATCCAAATCCCTCAAAAATATTCTGTCAAACCAAACAGGCCCAAATTAGGAATGGATATGTTGTGATTGTATGGGTTTGTTTCAGGTTGCTGTGAACACTATAATTCAGGACGAGAAAGAATTCCTTGATCATATCATCAAATCAACCAACATGAAGTGCCTCACTCCACCGTAAGTTATCTCATCTTTTCTCAAAACGAGTTGTGGTGATTGTGATTTATTTATATGAGAGGATTAAGGATGGTTTTAATCAGGTCTGCATTGGAGGGTTATTGTGGGTTTCTGGCTGCTAATTTGTATGCGAAGAGTGTGTTTGGAGAGGATGCATTGGTTAACTTGAGCGTGGAGAAGCAGGCAGATGGGAAGCTAAGTGGATATATTCGAATTAGGAGCAAAACCCAAGGGATAGCTCTAAGCTTGGGGGACAAAATAACTCTCAAGCAGAAGGGAGCTGCCTGATCATCTTTCCAAAATTGGTAAGCTTCAACACTCATTTTGCTACTCCTTTCTATCTCAAAATAAACGTCCACATTTCTATCTATGTTTGTACCATAATAGAAGATAAATAACTAAAATTTCCAAATCTACCCTTAGTTTGATGCACGAATATCTAAAAAAGTTGATGAAATAGCTACATTAACTAAGGGTAAAGTTGTCATTTGTTTAACTGAAAAAAATATAAAATTGAGTATGGTTTCATTCGTGGACACCGAGTAATAATTTTCGGGGATCAAAGTTTTGACAAATATTTTCTGCTCCAAAATGTGTTTATTTGTTGAATTTAGAGGTTAAAGGGAAGGGCAGCAGGAGATTTCCTTACAGAGCAACAAAGTAATATGATAGTTGGGATTTGGAGTTTTATGTAGATGAAGATGAGATTGGATTCTGACGGCTTACTTACCAAAACCAAACCAAACCATATTTCTGTTTTCATTATATATCTATTGTTAATGTCTAGTTATGTGACACTTAATAATTCATTTGCATTACGTTTATTAAATTGTATTTTGATTAAGAACATCTTCCTTCAACAAAATGGAGAAATTAGATTTGCTGAATGTTTACCCGATAAGTGTTTATCAAGTTACATTATGTTAACAAATGAATATGATAGGTATCGAGAATCTTACCTGGTAAGAGTACTGACAAGGATCGAGAGTCTTGTTAGGTAAGTGAGGGTGATGACTTTTATCTGGTTAGTGCTATCTAGATAAATTGTTGCATACGATGTTTTTTTATGGATTATAATCTTACCTGATAAAATAAATGGTGGTGTTAAATCTTATGGCTCCTAAAACCAACAAAAGAGAAACAGATGGATGGAGCTGGAGCAGTTTCAATATGTTAAAAAAAATTCTCCACCCAACCGTAGCTTTGTTGATATATTATTAGAATTAATATAGTTAATTAGAATCTATTGTTATATAAAATAACCATATCTATAGTTGTTCTTTTAAACATTTTATCGAACAGTTAGTAGACAATTTAATAAATTCCGAGTGGAAAGTCTTTACAAAGGTGATAAGGCAGTATAGTACTTTAATCAAGATCCACTAGTTACCTGTGAAAAAACGTTCCCGACTTCAAAAAGAAAATGGCATGATAAAATACCAAATACAAATAATTCTATTAATACATTAAAATACCATATAATTATAAAATATAAATTAAAAAAAAGGATAAAACAGAAATATATTAAATATTGAATATTTATGAAAGGAGAGTTTAGGATGTGAGAGTTGATTGATAGGACATTAATGATGCCTCCGGAATAAGACAACGTGATCCCATGTGTTTTCTCACATGCTTTTGCCCCTTTCTCATTTCTCTTATTTATTTCTAATTTATCTCTTTATGTCTCATAGTCTATATCATCTTATAAAGTCAGATTTATTAAAAAATTTAAAAACTACTTTTAATACATAAAGTATTATACATTTATATACAAAATCTTAAAAACAATTTATAATGTATTAAATACTATTATTTTATGCATTCAGTCGTAAAATCTTTTAATTTACAATTAAAATAATATATAATACAAGTTATCAATGCACATTATTATCTTTTATTTTCATGTTTCTTTGATACCTTTGATACTTTTTACTCATGTCTTCACCTTCTCATACATACCTCTATGTCTTCCCCCATCCCCCAAGGTGAAGTTCAAACTGATATTGACCATGAGTTATTAAAAGTTCTCTCATTCATCTCCCATTTAATTGCTCTAGAACTCTCGCTCTCGATCTCTTGATTCTTTGTTTTTTGTGTAAATCGAACACATTTGTGGAATCATTTAAATATGTTGGATTTTAAACCGTCATACAATTTTTTTCATCGATAGACTGTAATTGGAACCATAACTTTTATTTATTCAAATTGTATTAATATGTAAAGACCAAGTGTAACTTATATCATTAAATCTGCTCTAATAAAACCAGTGAAACTTCAAAATCGTTAAAATTCACGGCTCTTGTTACATTGTACGGGTACATAACTAGTTTATTTCTAATTTATCTCTTTATGTCTCATAATCATCAGATCAAATTATTTAAAAATAAAAGTAAAAGACAGATTAAATTTAATAATATATAAAAATGTATTTATTCCACTCCTATATATACATACATACAACCGAAATTATAAAGTAACCCTTTTTATTGTTTTATTTTAAACTATTGTGCATGTTCTTATAAATTTTATATTTACATATATTAATTTTGGGTTGGATTTCGTTAAAAATAAAAGTTACGGTGAAAAGGCAGATCAATCTTAATTCAAGATCAACACTAATGCAGTACACCGAGATGCACCAAATCAATTCTTGTGAGAAACGCAATTCATGGGATAGGGGTGAGAATAAGAGGAGGTGTTTGGGATTGCTTATTTAAAGTGTTTATTGACTTATTTTAATGTGGTATCGGTAATAAGCAATTTTTAGTGTTTAGATGAAAAAAAGAATGTTTATACCGATGTCAAACCGGTACTAAGGAATTTTTAATAAGTTACTATCTTCTAACTTATAAGAAACAACTTATAAGCTTTGAAAACCGAATTACCTTTTCAACCCTACAGAAAACCAAATTACCAATTCATCAAATAGCTCATCCTTCCTCACGAAGCGACCTTTGACCAGTTCCTACATAAATCAAAACCGACCAATTCCTACAAATATCGAAACCGACCAGTTCCTACAGAAATCGAGTGGATAGATCAAGTGGAGAAAGTTACCTGATGTCGTCGATCTCCGAGTGAAGGAGAGACTCGATGTTATAGTCGATTTGAGGAGGAAGCGATTATCAAATGTAAGAGCGTGCACTAGGTTTAAGGGTATATTGGTCCATCTCATCTTGTTCTTTCTTGTTCAAGAATCGTAAGTTTGCATTCTCTTTACTTTACAATTTATGTTTTCTAATCTCTTGTCCCCCAAAACTTGATTTAAGAATTTGTGCTCAACTTCACTTGCATTCCGTAATCCATTCGTAAAATTAAAAAAAAAAAAAACAGAAGATACCTGAGAAATTTATAGAGAGACATCTTTTGATGTTCAAGTATGAAGGGTTTTTGATTTTTAGGGTGTTTATTTTCAATCCAAGTTCTCGCAAATGGTTTATCTCAAGAACATGCATCATCAATTGGCTCATAGTCATATAGAAATCAAAGCCAGAAGTAGTTTGGATTCTTGCGTAACTTGGATGAATCGAAGACTGTAAAATCAGAACAAGAGGCTTGTTCTTCATGGGGCCAAGATCAAGAAACTAGAATCAAATAATTTGGAAGAATGTTCTTTCTAATCATTTTACATGTATAAGCAAAATTTGTCAAACATTAAAGAACAACTTATCAGTTTATCGCCATAAGTTAACCCAAACATTTTTTTTTGTGAAGTTCCAGTTTAATTCCAAACATTTTAAATATAAGGGATCCCAAACACCCCTTAAAAATGATCAATAGTTCAAATTCTTTCTTATATTTCTCAGCTTAACTCCTCTAAAGCGTAATTTGATATATACATATATATATATATATATATATATATATATATAGAACATAATAGTTATTAAAAATAAAGTCTCTTAAATATAAAATGTTTTTTTAAAATTTTTATACTTAAAAATATTAAGTTATGGACATACATAAATTAATTTCCGTATTTTTTAAGCACAAAAGATTCGTTATTGTCTAGCAATTATTATGAACCAAAATAAACAGCATATCATATATAGCAAGAATCGTATACTGGACCTCAAATCCAACCAGTCCCAGCTCATACTCCATCACCCCATGTTTCCTAATCATTATCAATATATACATATGTGTATGTATACATATATATATATATATAGAGAAAGGAGAACGATCGAATGCAAACCATCCAATTTGTATAAACCGTGTAAATCACCCTTATTCATCGACTTCATTGTTTAATTTTATGAAATTTTTTCATGAAATTGTTTAATCTTGTGAAATTGTTCCATATAATATTTTTTTTGATGAAATTGTTTCATATAATACTTAATGAAATTTTAATGAAACCGTTTCATGTATTTCTCTAAAATTAAACTAATGAAGATGATAATATCTATGATTAACACCATCCACAATAAAAATGATTAATCAACCTCTCATAATTACAAAAAAATGAAGAAAATGAAAAATTATGATTGGTTGAATGAGGTTTGTACGGTTTGTACAAATATTTGCAGAGTAAACCTTCTCTATATAGATACACATATACATATACATATAGATATAGAGGTATACATAAAAAGGGGCCTAATCAAATGAAAACTAATTAGTTTGTGATAACCGTGATGTCCAATATGAGTCAATCATTTTATGATATTAATTGTATTACCTTAATTAATAGGTAAATGGCGTTTTAATAAAATGATTAATTATAATTTAAATATTTTTCTTATTTAATAGTTATCAAATTCGGTTTCCTTAATTATCTCAACAAAATTGTATCACAGTCGTGTATCACATTGTGTTTGTGTGTGGCCTAAAATTCAGATCACATCTATTATCAACTCATGTTCAAAACGTTATCACAGTGGTATCACACTGTGTAACACAATTGGTTTTGCGTCTTACTATTATAAATTCTTGGGTATCACAGCATATATCATATTTGTTTTGTGTTTTATTGTTAGAATTTCTTGATGAGAGAGAGGGGGGAGAGAGGAGAGAGATTTTAAAAAGACTAACTTACCCTTATATATTATCAGTAAATTTAAATTATTTGAAAATTAATGAATAATTACTAAAATTAATATGTTTAATAATAACCATTGATTATTAATAATGTGTGGTTGAGATTAGATGTCACAATTATCACAAACAATCGAGTTTTTTCTTGATTGGACCTTGTATAAAAATAAGTAACCAAAAATAATCAAGAGAAAAGGCACACAGTTGTTGGCTCTTATTCTTGTTATCAAATAAAAATAAGTGACCAAAAATAAATAATAAAAACACAATTTCCAAAGTTTACAAATAAAATCACTCTAAATATCATCAACACCTACAAACCATAAATCACAAGTTCTTTAATCACTTACATTTACTTTACAACAATCACCCTAACACCAAACCATATTATCACCCTCCAAAATTAATCTCCCTCAAATTTACCAATTTGCCCTTTCCCTCATCTTCCATCCAACGATGTAAACGATTCCGCAAATCCGTATGGCCGGTTCGGTATGCTTGTCTGCGTGTTGTCCAACCTCGGAAGGAACGAAGAAGACGAATCATCCGTCGTGTGACTTTGATTTCCGCCTTCGAACGCTTGCCATTTCTTAAGGGCCTGTGGCAGCGACAAGTCAAGGTCAATTCCGTAAATATCCTCCGAACTTTGGTCGGATGGTCTCCACATTTCAACTAGAGAAGACAGAACATTGACCGCGTGACTCATGTCAGGCCTCTGGTAAGGCTCTCGGGCACAACAGTGGCCCGCGAGCTCAGCCGCCTTGCTGATGCTCGCTAGGTTTTCTTCGGTTAGGTCCAGGGTTTGATCAATGGACTTGCGGAAGGTGTCCTTGTTGAGATGTATTCTTCTGAACCATGTTACGAGGTGCATGCTTTCCTCGGGCTGGCTCTCGTCAAGTGCTTTTCGACCCGTGATGAGTTCCATCAATATCACCCCGAAACTGAACACGTCGACTTTTGTGGTCACACGCCCCGTAACTGTCCGCCATCGAAAAATAGCGAAGATAAGCATAAAGCATGAAACAGCTCTGGATGCATAATAAATAAAACAAAATATAAAAGTTCATACTATATATTATATAGGATTGAAAACCGTACTTGCATATTCGGGTGCGAGATAACCGAACGTCCCCGCAATTCTCGTCTCAACGGAGCCTTTGCCTTCGGGAGCAAGACGAACGAGGCCGAAATCTCCGACTTTCGCTCTCATATCATCACCGAGCAGAATGTTGGAAGGTTTCAAATCCCTATGAATGAAACTTTGATGTGCCAAACCATGAAGATACTCGACACCCCGAGCCACATCCAACGCGATGGCTAACCGTCGGGTCCATTCCAACGGTTTCAACCCTTCCTCGGGCCAATTAAAGAGATGTTGGCTCAACGTTCCTTGAGGCATATATTCGTAAACAAGAAGCTTCTCGTTTCCATCAAGACAATACCCAAGAAGTGCCACAAGATTTCTATGTCGAACTTTGGTTAAAACCGCAATCTCGGACTTAAACTCAGATAACCCTTTTCCTATAATCACACCACATTCCATTCGCTTAACGGCTATCTTGGTCCCATCATGTAATTCCCCTTTGTAGACGGTCCCGAACCCTCCTTGCCCTAATACATTCGATTGGCTGAAATTGTTGGTGACGGTTTTCAGGACTTGGATTGAAATGACCATATTGCCCGCCTCCACCATCTGGATGTTGTTTCCTTCGGTCGTCGGGATCGTATGGGTCTCGCTGAGTGCACCAACGCTGACGCTCGAGCCAGCGACCGTGATCTTTACACTCTCGTTATCAGATCCCGAGTTACGGGGATGAATCACGATGGCGTGAGGGCTTTGCACTCTACTAAACTTCTTTTGCTTCTTCTTGTAAAGACAGAATGCCAAGATACCGATCAAGAAAACAACAAGAATGCCTCCAAGAACCGAAAACACCACAACCCCGAGCCAATTTTTCGCCTTCTTTTTACCGCTTAGAGAAACCCCATTTGAATTCGTCAGGCCTGGATGATCGGGAGAATTTGTGTCGCTAGAACTGCTCTTGTCCTTCCCGATATCCGGATTCCCATCCGTTTTCACAATCAAATTGTTCTTAAAAACTGGTACTTTGCCATAAAGATTGTTATTCGCAAGATCCAATTCAGTAAGACCAGGAAGAGTAGTAAGCTCCTCCGGGATCGTACCCGTGAGATTGTTGTTGGCAAGAACGAGCCTTTGAAGCGATTTCAAAGCAGAAAAGTCAGGCGAAATCGTGCCCGTGAGCTCCATTTTCTGCAGATTAACAATGGTAATGTTGCCATTGTTACAAGTGATCCCAAACCAATCTGCACATGGATCATTCCCTTTCCAATTATTAGCCAATTTGGGGGAATAATCCATCGATTTCGCAATCGATAGCAACGTATTCACTCGAGGATCGCAGTCACCAGGCTCCGGCAAACAAAAGTTATTAGAATCCTTCGCCATATCTACCGAAACCGAATCTTTAAACTTAGGCATCGGTCCCTGAAGCTTATTATTAGTTAAGTTAACGGATTTCAACGATTCAAGATTCATCAAAGACACAGGAACAGGACCTGTAAATGAATTATCCCTAAGACTCAAAACCTCCAAATCTTTCAAACCCGAAAAATCGGGCAATGGACCCGAAAACGAATTCATATGCAACCAGATTTCTTTCAAGAATGTCATATTCTGTATAACATCAATCTTTCCACTAAGTTTTTGCCCATTTACCCACAAAGATTCAAGTTGTGAACCTGATAAACTCATGGGTAGTTCACCTTCCAAGTTGTTTAAAGCCAAATGCAAATTAACAAGACCCGGAAAATCATCCGGGCCAAAAAAATGGGGTATTGTACCAGTGATGTTAGCAGAAACAGCAGAGAAATTCTGCAGTGTTGAAGCATTTCTGAGGCTTTCGGGTATGACCCAACTTGAAAACGGGTTGTTATCGATTTCAACAGATTGTAAAGAAGACATAGCAGTGAAGAAATCAGGAGGGATTGAAGAAAACATGTTGTTGCTAAGCATCAAAACTTGTAAAGAGCTTAACCCGTTTAAGGTGGGTAAAGGACCCGAGATGTTGTTCCATTGGAGCTCCAACCGCTCAAGTTGGGTGAGATTTGAGAGGCTTTCAGGGAGTGTACCTTGAAGGTTTTGATGGCCGATTTGGATACGTGTTACCCGTTTCTCATCAGAGCAGACTACATGGTCCCATTTGCATGGGTCCGGGTCGGACCATCTTAGAGTTGGTGGCGGGTTGAGGGACTTCTTGAGTGATAACATAACTGCAGCATCGTTGGTGTCAGATTGGGAGCATCCATGGAGGAAGATTGAAGAAAGTATGATAAGGATTGATGGTAAAAGCTTGTATCCCACATGGGTTCTCATCTTCGGGTAGAGAGAGAGAGAGAGAAAGAGAGATGTTGAGTTAGTTTATGGAAGGTTGAAGATGGCGAATACAGAGAAAAAAGAAAGAGAGATTTGTGTGTTTTGATAAGGAAATTACGTATTTGATCCCTCAACTTTTCAGAATCTTCAAAATGCCCCCAAATAGAAAACCTTTCCAACACTTTATATTTCTAAAAGTGAAAATTGTATCAAAATAAAATAAAATTTCACTTGATTTTTGTTTTGGGGAACCAACTTTCAAAATTATTATTTAGGGGTCTTTATCAAAAATTTTGTTTATTTAAAAGTCTGATTGATCTGTTGAACAGGTAACATGTAATTTAAGGATCTTTATCAAACCTTTGGTTTGATTTGCTAAATTTGATTTAAACTTTAATATTAATACGGATTGGTTAGATATAAAATTTTTAAATGTGATATTTAATATTTATTTTTTATTGCATCAATTAATTTTTTCTATTAAATTGATTTTTTATTGCATTAGTAAAAAATAACTTAAATTGTGGTAATTTGGATCTTTTTTGAAAAAATATTCAATTTGATATATGAACTTAAAAAAACGATATTTGAAATGAAAAATAGATTTTATTGCATTAATTTTTGAAAAAAAATGAATTTAAGTTATATAATCTATAATTATTTTGCTAGTTGGTTCCCCAAAATAAGAATCAAGTTAAAGTTGGTTTTATTTTGATACAATTTTCTCTTTCTAAAATTACAACACTTAAATTTTTGATAAAATTGATGTTTGCATTTATCTTCTAATTAAAATAAATAAAACTTAGAAATTTATCCGATTAAACACTTATCAATAAGAGTCCACACTCTTATTTACTTTATCAGATAAGATTTTAATCAATTCAAACGACATTGTATACAATAATTTATTACTAGGTAATAGTCATCACTCTCATTTACCGGATAAAACTCACATTCCCTGTTAAAATTCCTGTTGCATATCGGACAATAATAGATGTTGTGTCTATTTATGTACATTTAAAAGTTGAATTTATAACCAACGAAAAATCACTCTCATAAGTCAAACTAAAAGTACAACACTTTAACGTTTTATAAATATTTACCGGTTATAATAGACTATCAAGCGAAATTGTTATTTGCATGTATGGCTATGACAATTTATTAGTTTAATTAATTATAATGTACGTTTCTTATTGTTAAATGATGATGAATAAATAGTTACGCATTTACATAAAATATTAAAATTAAATAACTTTTAATATTTTATTTTTACATCTGATTAACTTATCAACTATCATTTAATTTACTGATCATTCGTTAATTGGAGAATATTTTATTATTATTGATATGATGGTTGTTAAATAGGGGTGCTTATGGGTTTGGTTGATCGGGTCGAAGACATTTGAACAACTCAACCCAATGCTTGCAGTTTGAAAAATCTTAACCCAACCCAACCCAATCCGTACGGGTTGGTCGGGTTGATACTTTGGTACATTAAAATATTCTTCTAACCTTGAATATGTTATTTTTCTACTCATAATTTCTTTTTATCGTCAATCATTTGATACAACTTATCCATACTTCTTACGTGTAGCACATTCAGTTAATTTTCTCAATTTACATATATATGTTCACATTTACTGAACATATATACGAATGAGTTATATAGAGATGTTAATAGATTGAAAATATGTGTATATGAAGAATGTACGTGATAGTGTAACTGTCTAATTTATATATTAATAGAAATTCAACAATCATATTAAATCCAAAAAATAAAAGGATATCGGATTGGATTGAGTTCAAATAATAGCAACTCAATATCAACCCAATACCTACGGTTTGAAAATTTTACAACTCGATTAGACATCAGATTGCTTCGAGTTAAATTATTTCATGTCGGATTAGATTGTATTGGTCGGGTTTTTTAACACCTCTGTTGTTAAAGGTCCAAAAACAAAAAGAAAGGTGTCCCAATTTGTCACCATCACCACCAAAAATTGGAAAGAAAGTGAAGAAATAGAAGCCACAAGATTGTTGTATATATCCATTGTTGATGACAAGTAGGGTTAAACATGTGAAAACAAAAAAGTAGGGTGCAAGAAATGTGAAAAAGGAAAAGTTGAGTGGGGAAAATGTGAAAAAAATGATAGGTTATGGTCCATATGGAGATGCACATGGGGTGGAACCCACACCAATGAGATTTGATTCTTATATGAACATGGGGCTAAAATGAGGCAGGTTGGTTCTTTTTATGTAAAATTAGATATTTTTTTAAGTTTTACTTCCTAAACTCCCCCCTTTTCCCTATGTTGGAAACCACTCCTATACCCAAAATACCCCTACTCTCTAACGTGTATTTCCCAAAATACCCCTGTTGCATTTTTCATACTATAATCTTCTACAAAATAAAAACTCATGCAACTTTGGTATTTTAAAAGATTAAGCATTTGGATTATGTTTAAATAAATAAAGTATTATGTGCCGTTTGGCAATTGCTAAATGGTTTGGTACAAAATGATTAAGAGGCTCTCATGATATAATGGAAAATGAAATATAATTGTGTATAATGAAATTAGGGCTCTTAATGGTTAAGGGAGATCCATGATACAAAATCATTCAGAGGGTTTTGGAACCATTAAGAAGTAGACTTTTTTTTTTGTTAAACAAGATTCACTTATAAACGATTCAGATATTGCCTTTTAATGAAACTATTAAGAGATAAACAAACAACCCCTTATATTTATTGAAATCAAACAAAAGGGTATTTCTTATCTATAAATTCTTTTTTTATCCATAAAAAATATCAGAAGTCGGTTATTGTAATAGGAATTCATTAGGAAAAAAAAACAATCAACTTTAATATTTTAAACGATTAAGTCTTTAAATATTTTTTTATAGTAAATCGGTTATTTTATTATTACATGGTTTTTAAAGTTAAACAAAAAAATGATACGAAAACGGTCAGCTCCCTCTAAAGAAAAAGAAATAATATGTTTCTTTCTATTTTATTAGATTGTATTTCGTTACTGATATGTTGATACATGGAGAGAAAATGATATACTCCATTTCCTTTATAAGGATTTATTACAAAAAGTTATTTAGTGACACAATCGTTCAAAATATGAAAGTTTGTTGGGTTTTTTTTTCTTCATATTTTTATATGATTTCACCGCATTAATTTGTTTTATAGGTTAGAAAAATTACTTTGGTCGGTTTAAATAATGTAAGAAATTATTGTTGTTCAAGAAAATATCAAATAATTTAATCGTTCAAAATATGAAAATCTAATAATTATTCTCGGCTAGCTGATTCGTTCAAAATATGAAAATCGTTCAAAAGAGGGATTTTCACGGTAAAACACATGTCTAAGTTAATCCAAGAGCTAGCTGATTCGAATGGTGAAAGCAACGATCCTTGTCTTTGGAGCCCCTTAATTCCGAAGAAGGTAAACATTTTCATTTGGCGTTTTCTTAAAGAGGCTATTCCCGTAAGATTTAATCTTTCTAAGAGAGGGAT